ACTATGTAATAAATAATAGATGAACATAGAAAAATAGCCTTAAAAAACATTTAATAAATTATTAATTTTTTTATAATTTAAGGAGATTAAGAAGAAAATATAATACTAAAAAATTTATAAATATTATAGATTTTATTAACGTATAAAAATAATAAAAATATAGAAAATAATGAAGGAGGGAACAAAATAAAAGGCGAAGAATAAGATGAAAATATTATATATTTTCCAACAAATCTATCAAAAAAATATTGTTTAAAATAAAATAATTGGAATATCCTATAAAATATATTACTTCTAAAATCTGAAAAAGTTCATTAATTATTCCTTTAAATTTTACTTTAATTTCTAATTGATCCCAGAATACAATATGTGGACGGTTTTTGTGAAATACTATGTAATTAAATTTCAGAATAAACCTTTATTCTTTCTTTTTAAATAATAAAAAGGATTTTCTAATGCAACCCTGAATATACCAAAATCCTTGAGAATATTCAAAAAGAAAATCTTTCTCCAAAACAATAAGATAGTTTCCCTTTTTCTAAATATTTCCCTTTAAAATTTCTCCATAAAGTTTTCTATTAAGAAGAATAGGATATCTTTTCGACTGCTTTTTAAGGCACTATATATAAATATAATATAGTCTGGAACAAAAATGTTAGAAATAATCTACTAAAAAACACCGAAAAAGTCCTCTTTTAATACAACGAGAGTCTAAAATAATACAAAAACAAGTTAAGAAATATAAATACGAATTATTTAATAATAAATGATCAAATAATAAATGAATATCCGAAATTTGTTTCAAATAAAACATTCAAAATCGACTATAAAAATATATAAAACGAAGTGGAGATCGGATAGGTTTTTTTCGAAGTTTTTTGTGACACTAAACTTGACGAAAATCCTATTGGAAATGAAAACTTTTAAACTAAAATATAATAGTGTTTATTTTAAGAATAGAATTCATAAAAATAATTCTATATAATGAAAAGTCTATATTAAATTAGCCAAAAAATAAAATTTCCCTTATAAGCTAATAAATGGATGGGTATAAAACACGAAAATAAAAGATCTTTTGAAATTTGGCTTAAAAATATTTATTTTTAATTAGAAAATTAGGAAAATTTATAAAATTTTACAAAAAAAGAGGAATATTTTAGATCGTTTTTTGATTTTTTCAAAACTAATATTTTAGATGAAACAAGTGAAAACTTTCCTTAAAAAATTCATTTGAAAATTATATATTATACTTTAAAAATTCTATTATTTTTTGATTTTGATAATTTTATTAACAAATAAGAATACTCTTAAATAGAAAAAATTATTTTTGAAAAATCCTAAAATATATATGAATAATATTCATAAAAAGATACAATATGCGAATATTAAAATTAATCAAAAATAGAAGAAAATAATAAATAAGAAAATGAAAAAGAAATTAATAAAGAAAATAATATGGATTAAACTAAATAAAGTATTATTTAAGAATAATCAAAATTGAGTATTATGAATTCATAAAAAAAATAAAAAAACAAACTCAAAAAAATGACTGAAAATGATAAAGTTTGTGTAATGTAAATCATTTTAGAATGTAGGCAAGCTCTAAAATTGTATTTTGAACATGAAGAAATAACATTTTAAAAATAAACTAGTAATGAAAATAAAAAAAATATAAGTACTTAAAGAATTATCTGAATTATTTTTTTTAATAATTAATTTTTATTTTTTTTAAATAAGTAAGCTAATTTCTTATTAATGTTTCTTAATAAATATTATGTTTCTTAGATTTTGTATACTTTAATAAATAAAAATTAAATTAACATAAAAATATATGTTAATTTTTCTAATTTATATTTTATTTATTTAAAAGGGTTATTGTATTTAACAAAATAATAATTAAAATAATAAAATAATTTTATAAAAAAAAACATTATGATAAAAAATTAAACATATAATTATCTAATAGAAATTAAATATATATATATATATATATATATATATATATATATATTATTATTTATTTTCTAATTATTTAAACAAAATAATCATCTTAATATGAATATTTAAAGCGAATATATTATAATATAATAATAAAATAACTATATTATTTCTTAAAATTTAATTTTAACAATATCTTTATTATTAGTTATTTTTATTTTTAATTAAAAATAATATCAATTACTAAATACTTTTTTTATATATAAATTAAATAGATAATTTATAAAAAAATATAAATATTAGTTTATTTTAATATAAAAAAAAATGATACTTTTTATAATAAATTAAAAAATTATAATAAATATATCATTTATATATTTTATTTTACTTCTTTATCAAAAAACACATTTTTTTTTTAACAAAAAAATAAATTAACAAGACAAATATATTTTAAAAAAATTTTAATAAAATTCTTCTTAATTTTTAATGAAAATATCAAATTCTGATTATAAAATTACAAAAAGATAATATACAAGAAAAGGATAAATATCTAAATAAATAAATGAATCAATTGCTTTTATATAAAATTTTTTTGATATAGTTAATTAAAAATATGAAAACTTGAGTATAATTGAAGGAACGTAATAAATAAACTAATAAAATTTAATAGAATTCACTAATTTTCATGATAAAATAACTTCTTAATAAATATTTGAAAACTCCAATTTATCAGTAAAATAATAAAACTAAGAATTGTCAAAAGTTAGTAATATTGAAAGCTAACAAAGTTGTTAATTTTTTAGCGAAAATAATTTAGCGTTTGGAAAGACTGAATAAGATAAAGAATTAAAAAAATTAAAAAAACATTTAATTTTTGATGATATAGATAAAAAATATTAATATCACGAGCAAAATAAATAATTTATAAATATTGAATGCAAATAGATTATTAATAAGGGAGATTAAATAAAAAAAAAAACGATAAAGGAACATAAACAGAAAGACCTTTGAGCATTTCACATATTTTTATAGAAAAAAAAAATATTTTTAAAACTAAAGAGATTTATCATATAATAGATTTGTAAAGAAATATTAATTATAATGTTAAAGCAGGTCTAAGCTATTTAAAAGTACTTTTTTCAATGAAAAATATGAAATTGATTCGTAAATATGTAATAAAAAGTCATATAAAAACACTACTTTAAAAAATTATAATTCGTTTATATTATAAACTTAATGAAAATAAAGTTTTATTTTTGTATATATAATTATTTGTATTTTTTATTATAAAAAGATTGTTATAGAATAAAAAAAATAAAAAACTTAGACTATATATATGTATATTAATTAACCTTTATATATTTATAGTTTATTGTTTGTTTATTTATTAAATTAACTATTTTTATTTAATTATTAAATTGTTATTTTTATTATTATTAATAATATTATTTAATTTTTATTTATATATTAAAGTCAATTAAAACTTTCATTTAACGATGTAATTTTTTATTATCTAATTTTTAATTTTTTCTTTATTTTTAAGATTAATATATTAAAAAAATATACCAATAATAATGTTAAAAATGCAAATAATATATTTACTTTCTTAAAAATATTAAATAAATATTTAGAAATTTCCTTTATAAACAAATTATTTGATTGTATTTTTTGATATATTATTTCATGAATTTTATTACAAATAAATAATGATATTTTATTATGTTTTAAGTAGGTTTAATTAATATTTAATCTTTAAATATATTATTCTAACTATCATTATACTATTTTAATAGAAAATAATAATAATAATTTTATTTTGCTATCAAAAATAAAAAATATAGACTATTTTTAATTGAATGAAAAAAATATTTTTCTTAATTATCATATTTTGTATATCATTTCTTTAATTAATATTTGTTTTTTTTTAATTAATGATAAAGGCATGATTTTATTCATTATTAACATAACATTGAAAAATAGTTATTTAATTATTTTTTCCAGCACAATAATTTTACATAAGAAAAAAAATTATTTAAAATTTGCTTTATAATATATAAAAAGTATTAAGAAGTAAACAATATTTAGAATAAAAAAATAACATAATTTATTTTATTTTTTAAATAAATTATACTATTATAATGTTCTTTAAATATGATTTTTAATTCATTAAAAAAATAAAATTAATAGAATTGTAACATTTATATTTATGTCAAAATTTTATAATTTTCAAATTTTAAAAACATAATGTTTTTTAAAAATATCTTTTTTTTAGCAATATAAAAAGAATTTATATATATAAATTAAATTCTATATGACTCTTATTACTTTAATAAGCTAATCATTTATTATTTATTAAAAAAATTATATATAATTTTAAAAAATTTAAAAGTTAATTTTTTATTAAAAATTAAAGGAATTAGATATAAATATTTTTCTATATAAAAAAGAATAATATTTTTATTATTAAGAATAAATATATATTGTATCTTTAATAACTTTTATTTATTAATTTATTTTAATAAAATGGATAGTTAAAAATAATCTTTAAATAAAAATTATAATTATAATTCTAATTTTTATTTGATATTTAAATAATTTTTTTTTGTTCAATGCCATTATTATTATTAAATTTATTTTTAGAATAAAATTATAAAAAAAAAACCATTTTTATATATATATATTTAAAATATTTTATAATATGATGGCATTTAATATAATTATAAAAAATGAAAATGTATTTTCTCCTTAATTTTTTTTTTGTTTAAAAGTAAAAATAAAATATAATTTTAAAAAAAATAATATGTAAGAAAAAGTTAAAATTATATTTTTTTTCGAAATAATAACATTCTAATTAAAAAAACTAAATTTAAATAATAATATAATTAAATGTTCTATTTTTCTAAAATGCTTTTAAAACAATAAGAAAAGAATCCTTCTATAATTTCTTAAAAAATAAATCATTATAAAAGATTTAATCTAAGAAAAAAAGAAATGCTAAACTATATTCTATACAAAAAAATTTTATTAATTTAAATTTATATTTAAAAAAAATTATAATATAAAAAAATAAAATAATATAAAATAAAAAAAACTAATTTAATAAAAAAATAACAAACACATCATATAAAAATGGCTTCTGAAAAAAAATACGAAGGAACCGCAGTCGGTATCGATCTCGGAACTACTTATTCTTGTGTCGGAGTATTCATGAACGACAAGGTAGAAATCATTGCAAACGACCAAGGTAATAGAACTACCCCATCATATGTTGCATTCACCGAAACTGAAAGATTAATCGGAGATGCTGCAAAGAACTAAGTAGCAAGAAACCCTACAAACACAATCTTTGACGCCAAGCGTTTAATCGGAAGAAAATTTAATGAATCTGTAGTATAAAAAGACATTAAATTATGGCCTTTTAAAGTTGAACCCGGTCCTGATGATAAACCTAAGATTGTCATAAAATATAAGGGAGAAATCAAAAAATTCCACGCTGAAGAAATCTCATCTATGGTTCTCGTTAAAATGAGAGAAGTTGCCGAAGCTTTCTTATCCAAATAAGTTAAAAATGCAGTCATTACAGTCCCTGCCTATTTCAATGACTCCTAAAGATAAGCCACTAAAGATGCCGGTTCAATTGCCGGTTTAAACGTCTTAAGAATTATCAATGAACCCACCGCAGCTGCCATAGCTTACGGTTTAGATAAAAAAGGAAAAGGTGAAAGAAACGTCCTTATCTTCGATTTAGGTGGTGGTACTTTCGATGTCTCCTTATTAACTTTAGACGACGGTATTTTCGAAGTCAAAGCCACTGCAGGAGATACTCATTTAGGAGGAGAAGATTTCGATAATAACCTCGTATAATATTGCGCTGCTGAATTCTTAAAAAAGAAAGGAATCGATATTAGAGATAACCCAAGAGCCATGAGAAGACTCAGAACTTAATGCGAAAGAGCGAAAAGAATTCTCTCATCTTCAGCTTAAGCTACTATTGAAGTCGATGCACTTGCAGAAAGTGAAGATTTCATGTTGAATATTTCTAGACCTAAATTCGAAGAATTATGTCTTTCTTAATTCAAAGAATGTATCCCTCCAGTTGAAAAAGTACTCAAGGATTCCGGAATTTCTAAAAATTAAATTCATGAAGTCGTCTTAGTTGGAGGATCTACAAGAATTCCCAAAATTATTTCAATGATCTAAGAATTCTTCAACGGAAAAGAACCTAATAGATCTATTAATCCTGATGAAGCTGTAGCTTATGGAGCAGCTGTCTAAGCCGCTATTTTAACTGGTTGTACTTCAGAAACTGTCTAAGATGTCTTATTATTGGATGTCGCTCCACTTTCAATGGGAATTGAAACTGCTGGTTAAGTCATGACAGTTCTTATCCCAAGAAACACTACTATTCCTACTAAAAAATCATAAATTTTCACCACTTATGCTGATAACTAACCCGGTGTACTCATTTAAGTATTCGAAGGTGAAAGATAATTAACTAAAGATAACCATTTATTAGGTAAATTCAACTTAGAAGGTATCGCTCCTGCCCCTAGAGGTGTTCCTTAAATCGAAGTCTCCTTCGATATTGATGAGAACGGTATTTTGAACGTCACAGCAACTGATAAAGCTACTTCTAAGACTAATAAAATCACCATTACAAATAATAAAGGAAGACTTTCTCCTGAAGATATTGATAGATTGGTAAAAGAAGCCGAATAATACAAATCTTAAGATGAATAAATCAAAAAAAAAATCGATGCGAAGAACAGCTTAGAAAACTACACTTATTCGGTCAGAAATACATTAAAGGATGAAAAATTCAAAGATAAATTCTAAGGAGATGAAAAATCCAAAGTTGAAAAAGGACTCGAAGAAACATAAAAATGGCTCGAAGCTAACCATGATGCTGAACCTGAAGAATATGAAAAGAAATTAAAAAGTTTAGAAGATCTCTTCAACCCTGTTATGGCTAGAATATATCAAGCTACAGGTGGTGCTCCTGGTGGTATGCCCGGCGGTATGCCCGGTGGTATGCCCGGTGGATTCCCTGGTGGATTCCCTGGTGGAGCAGGTGGAGCAGGTGGCGCTGGTGGAAATGCCTCTAATGTCGATGAAGTAGATTGAAATTAAATTTTAAATACATTTATTTTTTTTAGTATAAAATAACAAAAATTTATTAATTAGTGTATTTTTGTAAATATATTAATTAAGTCTTTTATGTTTTTTTTATATTTTTTTGTTTAAGGTTTTATATCTCTTTTTAAAGAAAACTTTTTATATTACAAATAATATTTTTAATTTTATTAAATAAATTTATATTCAATTATAAATATATATGCTAGCTTATAGATTTTTTTTTTTTTTTTTTAGAAACTCTATCGATAATAAAAAAAGGTTTTTATCCTTTCTATTTTTTTTCGAATGAGTTATTTAAATACATTACAGAAAAAACTATGAAAAAGTAATATAAAATATATAATTATAAAAAAAATAAGAAAATAATTTGATATATATTATTTTTTATATAGATATTCAAATTTAAATTATATTTATATACATTTTTATTGATATTATTTAATTTATTTCAAAAAAAAAGTATAAATATAATTAACATGTATATTTTTTATATTTATTTTTATTAATTTACTTTTTTTTTTCTTTTTATTTAAATATATATACTAATATAAATATTAAATACGCAAAATATATTCGCGGTTATTTGCGGGCTGATTTTATTTACATAATTAATTTATTTAAAAAAATAATTAAAAAAAATATAATAAAAATGTAAAATAATGTACAAAAAAAAAATCAAATAAATTATTCGCTTTCAGAAAAAAAATATTATATATGTATATTTTATAATATAATTTATTTGAAAAATAAGAAAATATAAATAAAATTATTCTTTTTAATTATATAAAATAAAATTTTAGAATCAATTAAAAAATAATAAAAACAATAAATATTAATTTTTTTTTTTTTACTTGATATTAAAATATTAATTAATATATATTTTGAAAAAAAAATAAAAATAATACTAAAATAAAAAAAACTTTTTAAGAAAGAGAAAAAATAAATAAAAAAAACTTTACTAATCTTCTACAAAATAAAGAAAAATTATAATAAAAAAAAAAAAAAAAAAATATAAAAATAACTAGAATAAAAAAAAAAAAAAACCAAAAAAAATGTTTGCCTGTATTAAAAGATAATAAGTATAAAAAATTGATAATAAAGGTTTTATAAAGCGTGACTTCATAAATGAGCGAAAATTAAAATCGCAAATAAAATTAAAAGGCGGAATATCCCTTGATCTCTAAGAATTCGAAACACAATAACTCCCATAAAAAATAATCGAACCAAAAAAATACATAATAAAATCTTTCTACTAAGAAGTAAAACAATTTATTTCTCAAAAAACACAGATTCTTTCATAATATTTCGACTTTTCGTCTTCTTCTCAAGAATAAAACATCCAAAAAGAAAAAAATAAAGACGAATAAAACCTAACATAAATAATAAATCAATATGTATAAGATGAAAGTAAAAAATAACAAGAATAAGAAGATGAAAAAAAGAAAAAAAAACAATAAATTTTAAATTCCAGTACAATATCATTAAATAATAGGTCAATAAAAAGCGATTTCCCATTAAAAAAACGAAAATAAAATTACTATCATAGTCATAATCCATCAAAAGTTTTTGTCGATAATAATAAGAAAGTGGATACAAATAAAAGCCTTTCTATAACTTTTGATTTCGATTGTTTAGAAAATAATAAAAAAGAAGAAATTTAAGGTTAAAATGAAGAAATTTAAGGTTAAAAATAAGAAATTTAAAAGGAATAATTATAGTGTGAAAATAATTTAAATTAAAATAAAATTTTAAATATAAAAAATAATAATAATTAAATTAATAATATTAATATTGAGGAAAATCTTTAAATTATTAAAAAAAAAAGTTCTTAAATCTTAAAAAAATAAGAACCGAAATACAATTAATTCATCGAAAAAAACAAAAATAAAATCCAAAAAGAAACATAATTATATTCTTCCGATAATAAAAAAATGATTAAATAAAAAGTGGAAATCTCACTATCAGAAGCACAACAAACACTTGAAGAAGCTTAAAAAAGTCAAATTTTACACTACGAAGGTTTACCTGACCCTGAATAAATTTTACTTAAAGAAAGTTCTTTTTACAAATTCGAAAAACTTTCCAAAACTATGAAATCAAATGAAAAAAAACTACACCATTTTCACGAATAAGAGTCTATTTTTACGATTTAAATAATATCTAATAAAAAAGTAGTACAAAATACTTCATAAAATAGCTTTGATAAACCCTCTAATTTATTATAATTGAGCGTTTCGAGTATCGAAAAGCACTCAGATTAGGAAGATTCTGGTATTAATAATGAATTTTTGAAGGAAAACAATAATAATTAATAAAGAAAAAAAAATACATTAATGTGTAAAAAATTAAATTCAATATAAGAAGTTGACGAAAATTTAATTTAAAAAAATCAAAATAAAGAGAGTTTATAAAAAACGGAAAATAAAGAAAAATAAGTCGATTTTACCTTTTCAAAAGAAAAAAATAATAATCAATCGTCCTATTTAGTTTCTGATAAAAATAACGAAAATAAACAACTATCACAAAATTCAAATTTAGTTCAAAAAAATTAAGATTTAATTCAATAAAAGCCTGAAACAACCGCCTTATTTTCTTGTAAACCTGAAGGTGGTTTACTTTCTAATTAATAACCAAAAAATAGCCTATTTACTTAAAACCTCAAAGCAGCGATTAGATTTCTAATTAAATAACCGATAATAAAGAAATTACCTTATTTACCTAAAAGCCTGAAGGCGATTTATTTATCTAAAAGCCTGAAGGTGTTTTATGTACCTAAAATCCTGAAAATGGTTTATTTACCTAAAAACCTGAAGGTGATTTATCTAATTAAAAGCCCTAAGGTGGTTTATTTACCTTAAAGCCTGAAGCTGGTTAATTTACTTAATAAACTGAAGAAGGAGGATTACTTAATTAAAAACCTGAAAATGCCTTATTTTAAAAACCTGAAGGAGAATCACTTGGTTAAATTTAAGAAATTAAAACTAGTGAAACAGTTGAAAAAAAAAAGAAGAAGAAAATTGTTAAACATGTGAATATACAACTTAATAATTATAAAAAAAAACACCTTAATCACTTTTTACTTAATAAAAACCTGATTAAGAATAAGAAAACAAATCAAATACTGGTTTATTTTCCAATTTACAATAATAACCAGCAGAAAATTAACAAAACTCTTTATTTTAATCTGCAAATTTATTTTAAATTAAAGAAGAAAAAACTCAAGAAAATAAATAAACATCTTTATTTGGAAATATTCAACCTGAAAAGGCTAACAAAACTTCGCTTTTTGCAAATTTAACATAAAATTAAGTACCTTCTTTATAAACAAATACATAATAAACTATTATATCTTAATAAAACCCTGTTTTATCTCAATAATAATCTATTTTAACACAATAATAGACTATTTTACCGAATTAATAATAATAAAATATAGTTATATAATCACCTGATTAACAAAAAGATTAAATAAATACAAATACAACAGAAACTTAAAAATATTATTTTGGGGGCAGTACAACAAACCCCTTTGCAAGAAAAACAACTACTGAAAATTTTGGGTTATAGTCTTTAATTTATAATAAAGTTGATATAAATTAAATAGTTTAAACTCCATTAAAATCAAACGAAAGTAGTACTAAAAAAAACGCTAATCTTTTTGCACAAACGGGAAATAATATTTTTGGGCAAATGACTCCTTAAAAAAATTAATAATAATTATTTGCTTTTGGACAAAACAATTTTAATTAATATTAAAATAATAATAATAATACATTTTAGCAATAATAAGGATCTTTTATTAATAATTAATTTAGCGATCAATAAAAAGTTCCAATGTATAATAATGCTTTTTAAAATAATTTATAAAACTAAAATATTGGAGAATATAATAATTAAATAAATAATGAATATAATCAATTTGGAAATAATACATTTAATAAAATATAACCATAATTAAATAATAGTAATAATATTTAAAATTAAATGCTAATAAATAATAATATGATAAATGGATATAACAATATGTAAACGTATAATAATAATACTATGAATTAATATAACAATACTGATTTTTATAATAATAGTTATAACTAATAAAATATGTAATAGTAAAATATAATTTCATAATAAACATAATAAATATTTGGAATTTAATAAAATAATTAATAAAATCAAAGTGGACTATTTTAAGCCTAATAATAAATAATGCCTTAAAATTAATAATTTAATAATAGAAATAAAAAAAATCAAAAGTAAAGAATTTGATTAAAATAATTAAAGAAAATTATTAATTTAAAATAATAAGAATATATAAAATATATATTATATTTTATATTTTTAAAAATTATTTTAAAAATAAATATATAGGTATATATATAAATATATATATATAAATTTATTTATAATTAATATATATTTAAATAAGAATTTTAATATAATATATTTAGTTTTTTATTTATTTTAAATTTACATTTTTATATTTTTATTATATCTAAAAATTTATTTTCAATTCATATCTATTTTTTATATTTATCTTTATTTATATTTTAATATATATATTTTATTTATATAAAAGTTTAATATATTATATTCTTTTTATTATGAATATTTATACAAATATATATTTAATTTTTTTTTATTCACATATAATCTCTAAATGAAAATAATTTTTAATCATTATTATTTAATTGATTAATATCGTAATTATTATTATTATTATATTTTTTTTAAATATTAGATTAATAATTTATACTTTATATTTATTATTATTATTTATTATATTCCTCTTCTTTTTCTTTTAATTATTTCATAATTAATTCATATTGTTTTTATAAATTTTAAGATACATTATTTTAATTGTATTTTTTTTCATTATTACTATCATTATCACTTTCATTATCATCATTTAAATTATTATCATTTTAACTTTATTTTAAATCATCTCTATAAGTACTTTTTTAAAAAGAAAGATTTTAACTTAAATTATTTAAATCATCAATTGATTAATTTTCTTTATTTAATTCTTAACTTTTTAAAATTTTTTCATTATTTTTAAAAAGTATATTTTAATTTATTTATTCATCTAACTAAACAAAATATAATAATTTTGAAAATATAAGAATATATACATTTTAAAATTCTTCCGTAAAACTATATCTTAAAGAATTC